CAATACGATCGTATTCGTATATATATGCATGCATGATAATGCATGGTAGATGCAGCTATGCATGCTCGCAGATCATAGCAGAGACCTTGCTGTCGTCGCTGCCGCCGTCGATGGATTCAGCGGATATCAGGTTCGTGGTGAAGAGAGCGACGAGGAGGAGACAACAAACATTGAGACGACACATCGGGGCCGTCTCGTTGTACGGCTTGCACAGCTTGCAGAGCTTCGTTGCTTGCTCCATAGCTTTGTGTTTGTTCTGTGTTCTAGATCATATATACTCCCTCTCATTCTAAATTATAGTTCGTTTGACTTTTTTTACTCTAAATTTGATCACTCGTCTTGTCAAAAAAATTATACAAATATAGTCAAATTTAAGTCATTCTTGAAGAAATTTAGTTAATAAAGCAAACCACAATAAAAGAAGTGATATTTTACATAATTTTTTAAATAATACGAGTGGTTAAACTTAGAATAAAAAAAGTCAAACGAACTATAATTTGGAACGGATTTAGTAGCAGGTAAGCAGGAACAACGGAAGTGATGTGAGCGGTGTGCTGAGACGTGAGTATGTATGCGCAGGCGCAGGGAGCTGTGAAGCAGTGACGACTGATGACCAAACTAGGCTTCGGCTTTCGGAAGCTAAATCCATATGGTTTCGACCATTTCCTAGCAAATGACGCTGTTGTTTACTTAGGCCTGATCCTTAGAATTGAATTCATTTTTAATAATTATAATTTAGACACATGTTAATTAAGCAAATATGATTGTATATGATTATATTTGTATATTATTGTTGGCTATATGGGAGAGATAATTATGTGATGTATTTCTACCGTACGGGAGCGAGTAGAAAAGCGTGTTATAAGTTGCAAAATAGAAGTATAGAATGACGATCTATAGAATCAATTTCTATCTCTCACCATATAAATTTGAGATAGCATTATACGTGAACTTTGAAAAGTGGTGGAATATCAAATTCCAAACCAAATACCCTAATTTATTAAGTAGATTTCAGTTCCTCCAAATAAAAAGATCCATACGGCCCCTTAGAGAAATGTAAATGTTTTTTTCTACCAAACTGTATAAAGGGCTAATTTGATTTATATCAATTAGTACAAATAACTACCAGTGTTATCTTAAAAGTTAAACGGTAAATAGTCGATCACCTAACGTTTAGCCATTATTCGGTCTAATCGGCCACTTAAACACGCACCGGTACATAAATGATTTCTACATACGCCTCTCTTTTCTAACAAAGGCAGTTAAATGGACGCGGTCTCTAACCTTGACTGGAGGAACTGTAGCTAAACAACCGTTAACTCAAAAACAGAGGTAGTTCTGTTAAGTACTCCCTCCGTTTTTTTATTGAGTGTCGTATTTGGTTTTTGGAAAACGTCGGAATTAGATGTCACATTACGGTCTGCATGCCTCGGTTCCTTCCAGGCAGTTAAGTCCTCATGCATGCAGGGAGAGAGACAGAGCCATGCCCTAAGTACGAAGCCTAATACTCTACCCTACTAAAGCTCTATCTTTTTCTATGCTAGATCTACTCAAAGAATCTCTCCTGTTGAGATGGCTCCCCTCCACACACCTTAAAAAATATACCTAGAAAATGTAACATCATAGAAACCAACCATCCAGATTGCTTACGAGTCTTCTCTCTTTACTCATTCGAATCTAACGGACAAGATTGTGTGCATGGTACTCCTCAGCCCCAACTGCGCAATCCACGCCGCACGATCCTCGCGACTCCACCGTTCACCACTCGCGATGCTCTCCCCCACGGTCACGGGGCGCGACTCCTCTCCCCCATGGGGGCACGAGGCCACGAGCGACGCGTGCAACTCCTCCTCTGCCAACGCCGCCAGGCCGCCGGGCGCCGGGCGCCTCTGCCTTGCTCCGGCTAGATTCCCCGAGCGGCTGCACCCACGAAGACGGCGAAGTCGCAACCTCCAACCTGCCCCTGCCCCTGCCCCTGCCCCTGCCGTCGGCGCTGCAGCTTGTGCCGAGGGTGGCGTTGATCCAACCGTCGGCGCCGCGGCTCGTGCCGAGGGCAGCGTTGATCCAGCCGTCGGCGCCGTGGCTCGTGCCCTCGTCGATGCAGGAGCAGGAGCCGCCTCGTGGTGCCCTGATTCCGGGGTAGTGGTCGACTGATGCGCAGCCTCGCCACTGGCCACTCCCTGCGTCGCGGGGCGCCGATGTTGGCACGGCGGCCCCAAAATCTGGCGCGCTGCTGTTCGACACCTGGGAGTTCGAGGCCACCCTCTATGCAGGCGGCGACAAAAAGTACGTAAACTCTGCTTCTCCTATTTCATGTCGGTCGCTGCGGAGATGCTATGGAAATGCTGGACGAATTGTGCAGCATGGACAGCAAGGACAATGTGGTGATAAACCATGCCGCAACGATTAGCCTGATACAACTGAGCATGCTGTTGGCGGGCTACCCCACGGACATCCCCGCCCAACGAACGCAATCACATGGAGTAATAAATGAAACAGTCACTGACTCTAATTTATCTCACTGTGTTCATGATTTGGGATGATAATGTTTCGTCTCTGGACTGTGAACAGATGCGCTGTGATTACCGGTTGCCACAAGTTTGTGGCAACCGACAATCACAACGCATTGGCACAAAGGATTGTGCATTGAAGGGGCTCTATCAGAGCATCAGGTCAACACAGAACTGCTTGTCTCTGATTGCAGGTCAGATATCACTTCAACTCTGTTTTTTAGCTATGTACAGTATTGTCAGAAACACATATAGGATGTTTAGATGGCAGAACTGGGGCCAATAGGGAAAATTTGGATACAACTATGTTTTTGTATAAGTTCATTTCAGGTTGGTGTAACTCATATTTAGTTCAAATCAAGTGGACAGTGTAGTTTCAGGTGATTGCTTGAATGAAAAACTTGCGATTGTACCTGGAAATATTGCTATTGAAACAAACTTCAGTTCCATGACAAAATCATTGTTCTTACAGTTATCCCTTAGCATGGGTAATATACTAGTCACACTTAATTTTCTCCTTGGTCTCTGCACCCAGACCAAATGCGACACTAAAAAACGGAGGGAGTAAACCGTCAGTAGAAATAGATCTATTTTTAAGGACGGTCGGGTTAAGGAAACCGCTACTGAAAATATGTTTTTCAGGGATGGCTGCTTATGTTAACCGCTTTTGAAAATAGCTGATTATTAAGTACGGTTGACATAAGTCAACCGCCCCTAGAAATCGATTTTTAATGACAGTTGACAAAGTCCACCACCCTTAAAAAATAGTTGTAGCACAAATAAATTCATAATTTTTTCAAGTGAAGTCGGATGAAGACAAAATTTATATCAAAATTACAGAGCTCGACGAGATCTACAACTTTGTAGTTGACAAATTTTTTGTTTGAGATTATTTAGGAGCCCCAATATATATATTATTTTCTTGGATTTTGAATTTTAAATTATTGAATTTTTTAAATGACCATGGATGGAGACATCTTCTATATAAAAGTTGTAGTGCTCAACCATTCTAAAATTTTGTAGTTGAAAATTTTGCCATTTAAGGTTGTTTATGTGTCGAAATATTGATTACAAGATCCATACGTATTAGTACAAATAGATAGCATTACATAATTAACCCAAGTGACTATGTGGTGTAGTGGCAGGGGACGGTTTGAAATCCTGGCAACTGCACTATATTATCGAATGGAGAAAATTAAATTCTACAAGTGGCTGGTTGGTCCTCTAGGCCTCTAACCACATTGATAATTTTTTTCTTATTTTTATGGCTTCTAAATGAATTTTTTAAAAATTTAAAAATTATTTTTAGAAATGGTTGACTTAAGTCGATCGGCTCTGAAAGTAGATTTTTAAGGATGGTTGTCTTAAGAAAACCATGTCTGAAAAATAATTTTTAGGGACGATTTTAAAACCGACTTAGAAAATCACTTATTTTTACGATCGATGGCATAGTAGCGGTTTTTTAAACCGTTTCTGAAGATCATTTTTGACCATGAGTAAAAATCTTTTCTGTACTAGTAGGGGCAAACGATCGTTTAAACGGGCTAAAAGATCGGACTAAACGGCTGATTAAACAAAAAAAGTATATCACTATGTAGCATTTAAACGGTGCGTAAACAGACTAAACAGCCCTTTAGACGAACAATGATAAATACTATGTGAAACAAACTGGAATTTCTATACCAAAAATTCCGACAATTTAGCTATATGATAGTTCCGAGACATCTCGCCTATCACGAGCATCTAGTTTTCATCTAGTTATAAGTTCATACAAGCATCAGTACATAAATATAATTATTACAATCGTTTTGGATACAAACCCTCAAGGCTAAATAAAGAAGAAACAACGATGTCCAAATTGATGGCCGCTGAGGAGCGGTGCACCACCAGCAGATGGATGACTGCGCTGTCGGCCCAGTAGACGTCGTGGATGAGGTCGTGAACAGGTGATAGTTGGGGTCCTCACGGCCGATGTTGAGGTGCAGGGATTTCGCAAGTTGATTTACTTATTGCTGGCCGATGTTGGATTCAGGATCAAGATCGCACGCTCATTTAGTGGCTAATCCTAACCGGAATCAAGAACAATTGCAAAACGCGCCCTGAACACACAAGAACACAGGAGAACTGTCGGCTGACAGAGCTCTTTTACTCAGATTTTTGTGAACAGTACAGCACGATTACAACAGAACCAAGCAGTTAGACATGATGCTTGGACACGCTACTTATACCAGTATCAATCACACGCACTAAATTAAAACGAGCTAAACAACTGCCTACACATGGACTAAACACACAAAGATGATAACTGCAGCTTCCGCACGTCTGGCTGTTTGAAACTCTCGTTCCCGCCAAAGCTCTCCACAAGACGCCTTCACTGCTTCACGTGCTGACTTAGTGTATGTAGTATTACTATCAACAGCTGAAACAAGGAGGTTTTATTCTGAAACCATTGCACAAATCACAAGCCTTGGGTAGCAGCTCCTTCACTGTCTAAACCCCGTTTTCCTGGGAGTCGTCGTCCGTTATTGCGTACACCACCACTGGGCTCCTCACGTCATGCTCGTTGTTGTACCACACGACGGCGGCCGAGTGGACCCTGCCCTCCTCCATCGCCACGCCGGACACCGTCACGGCAAACGAGAGCTTCTGGCCCTGCGCGCTGAACTCTAGTCTGCTCGGCGACACATCAACGGTGAGGTCCTTGGCCGCCTCAATAGGAAACACGACCTTCACGTCGTACACGGCTCTTGCGGCCCCGACGTTGGTGGCAGTCCGCGGGAAGACCGCGGTGAAGTTCTTGCCCGGTTCCACATGGGCCGCCATGGTCGGGTAGTTGAGGTCGCTGGGTGCGCCGGACGTCGAGCCGTTGGCGCAGGCCGTCGTGTTGGAGCCGGTGACGAGCGCGAGCTGCTTGGCGGTGTAATTCTGCGCGCACAGCATAGCCACATAGTCGCCCTCCGATGCGTCATACACGAGGCCCGGGTCATGCGCCTTTGCTGGGTTGAGTTGCCCGGCGCCGTACTTGAGCGCGGTCGTGTTGGAGTTGCCCGGTGTGTTCATCGCAGTGGCTGCATACATGATGAGCACCATGCATTGCGATATCATGATATTGCAAGTTGTTCACCGAGATGAACAAATTAAATTAGTGGAAATGATATACCAAACTCTATCGGAGGTGCAATCGATCTATGAAATGGTTGTTTACACGGTAGTCGTACCGGTGGTGATGAGAGCCGACATGATCATCGCCGGCGACCAGTCACGGTGGAGTGACTTGACATAGGCGGCGGCTCCGCTCGCGTGCGGGCACGCCATGGATGTGCCGGAGATGATGTTGTACTGAACCTTCCTCGTGTCGTTCGGATTGCCCGAGGGTGACGACAGCGGTGACCATGAGGCAATAATGTCGACCCCCGGCGCAGATAGATCAGGCTGTACACATTTGAACGTTGTAGAGAACACATTTTAAGCGCGACATTTCCATGAAATGATGGAAGATGTTCGTGAACATTATCGATCAGGCACCTTCAAGATCGAAGGGGTGACCAAGTTGGGGCCTGGAGAAGAGAAGGAGGCGGCCACTGGAGCTTGTGGATTGCCCGTAGTCACGGTGCGGTCTATGGTACCCACAGGATTACTGCACAACAGACCCGGGCGGACTATGTTCAGACTTCAGACAACTGAACACGAACTGGGATATATAGTGTAGTTCATCGATCTGGCAATCCTAGCAATGGTCATTGAGCTCACCTAGTGCTGTTGACATACGCCATGATTTGGTCGAACTTGTCCTGAGTTACCGTGAGACCGGGGAGAGGCAGAGTGAAAGCGACGTCAGGCGCGCGGGTGACTAAGACGACACCTGCTGCACCGGCCAAGAGAGCACCTGTGGCGCCGCTGGTCAGACGGCCGCTCTTCTGGGGTGGGCAGAGGACGATCTTGCCTTTGTAAGGACCTCCAACGAGGTCCTCTGGATCACAGGACCTACATTTATTGTAGCAAAAAAACCATAAACACTATATATATAATATAGACAGTCATGCACTCACACACACTGACACTAGCTAGTATGTATGTATGTCATTGTCATCGTCTTACCCGTTGGCAGGGAATGCAAGTGTAGCATTTGATATCGTTGGAAAGGTGTTAACGGAGGCTCCCTGCAACAGAAGAAAACAGTTGTATTGGTTGACCTTTTCATTCAGACTCTGATTTCTGTGAAAAATAAATATATAAGGACATTGTATAAAGATTTTGGGTTCAGCACTGACCACTATGGTATCGCCGTTCCCAAGAACAATCCTGTCGATGAATTGACGGTCGATGCTGCTCGCCGCCACAGACAGCATCCATGGCGCGACGTTGCAAACTCGGCCGCCATCGAGCCCCGAGTTCCCGGCCGACGCGGACGTGAGCACCCCACGCCTCATGGCGTGGAAGGAGCCGATGGCTTGTGCGTCGTTGAAGTAATCATTTGGGAACGAGCTGCCGATGGAGAAGGAGATCACGTCCACGCCGTCGGCGATGGCGTCATCGAACCCTGCGAGGATATCGGTGTCGTCGCAGCCGTCTTCCTGGCACACCTTGTAGATGGCGAGCCTGGCGCCTGGCACCGCGCCGCGAGCTGTGCCGGCAGCCAAGCCGTCAAAGCTGATGTTGGCCACCGCCCGCCCGGCCACGGTTGATGCTGTGTGGCTTCCATGCCCCACGTCGTCCAGCGGCGACTGGTCAGAGTAGGCGCGAGCTCCGATAATTTTACTGCACGTCATGCCGTAGTTTAACAGCGAGTTTGTGTCTTGTCTAATTTTACTGCACATGAGATGCGTACTTTGTGGTTGGCCCCTATAAGCAAATGCTACATCATCTAGGACTTGCCATTAAAAATAAACTTTTCTATTGGGTCATCAAAAGCTCGGATACATTTAACTTCGGTGACCAGATAGATCCATCATCGATCTTCGAGGAGGAAACATAAATGCAATACGTGTCATGGAAGGCTAGGGATTACTAATCTAGCCACGCGGGAAGCCTTCTCCCTATGAGGCTCAAGAGTCAAGATACCCTAAACAAGAAGCAGCTTGTGTTACACAAAAATCTAATTGTCCTCAGGAACCGGGCGAGCTGAAAGTTAATTAAGGCCCAGTAATATAACGATATTGTTGTCAATTTTATTTTGATGATGCTCATTTTAACGCTTCTGGGTGGAGCAAGCTACTAATTGGTGACAGTACACAGTTGCTCCTGAATATGTACTACAGCTTAAATTTATAGAAACTCATCCAATAGTCATAAAGTTTGCTATATGTGTTTATTGTGGGCCATAGGGTTCCAAAACAGTCTCAGATAATAATTTTTAACTAGGTAGACAGTAAAAGAAAAATGCATTTTTCATACTTGTTGCACGTGAAGTTTTGGCATGTGCCCTTCCATCTGCTCGGCGGTGGGCCAAATCCTTCGTCAGAGAAGGACGGTGAGTCAGGCCACACACCGGTGTCGAGCATACCGACAATGATGTCTCCTTCCAGTGGTAACTCTTCCTTGGGCGTTTGAGGGAAGCCCAAGAAGTCCCAAGACCTTGTGGTCAAAGGCTTAAGGGTCCTACTTGGGAAGACTGAGACAACGCCATTCGTGCCTGAAGGTAAGTGAAAGTTGTTTAAGATAGAGCTAGATTCATGCATGCTTTACTGTTCCTACCTTGATAGTATAAATTAAAAGTTGATTTGTTTGGGTTTATCCAACTATCCCTTGATCTTGCACCCTGGTATCTACACCCTTGAGACATATTCCCTCAATTCAAAACTATTAGTCATTCTAGCTTTCTAGGTTAGTATTTGTAGCTTTTGCTATGTAGGTAGATATATGTTACGCTATGTTTCTAAAAATTCAGAACGAACTACAATTTGAAATTGAGTATGACTCAAATCTCAATGCACAATCACAAAATAAAAGGATCGAAAAGAAGAGCTTGTTAATTGTCGCAAACCAGAAAGTTTATGTGCCTCTTCTTCGCTTAGCTTGGCAGCGAAGCCATTTAAGCTTCTCTTGTAACTACGGAGGATCCTGTCTGAAGCAGAGCTGCAAAATACAAAATAGCATATAGGTTTACACTCCAAACTTTTTTTCTAATAAAAAATGAGAATATGATAAAACTTCAACAAAGATACTACTGTTTTTTTTTTTTGAAATGATACATAGTATACCGGCCCGTTATTCATTTACAAAGGAAAAGAAAAGTGCATTCATTTCCTTTCTGAAACAAAGGCGTGGATTGCTATAAAAACTTTGCATCTCCTATCAGACAATTATTATTCATGTACAGTTGCATAAGGACTATAGGACAGCTAATAGCCTGACCATGCCCTGCAGTCGGCCGCGAACTGGACGCTGAAATGGAGTATAGCGAAAACTTGCTTTGGCAGTTGGCATGGTCACAAAAAGAAACGGAGTATATATAGCATGGTTTGTCCTGAAATGGTCAGGTGCTACACTCTGCTGAAAAGAGAATTTTCGACCTGCCGTCGTCGAGGACCTCGTTCAGCAGGTCGTGATGAGCAAACTCTACAGCAGAGAAACCTTCAGGCTCCGACGCATCCGTGCTGGCCGGTAGATGGCCCAGGTACACGATGTAGACCTGCTTATGATCACAATGAAATAGATGTGACAAAACTTCGTAGGTCTGTGCAGATCCTGAAGAAAAATCATGCATGCAGATTGCTGATGGATTGATGATGTATCCGTCTGACCTTGCCTCCGTCGCCGACGGATTCAGAGGCGCTCAGGCTCGCGGCGAAGATAGTGGCGACGACGAGAAGCAGCGGCAGTGTTCTGGGACGAGGCATCGTATCCTACACGGTGTTGGAAGCTTGGTGCAGCGCTGCTCCAGGCACGAAGAACAACACTCGTGTGGACGATATATATATACATATCTAGTCCCATGTGTGATGTGTATATATATATATAGAACTTTGTCACTATGCTTGACAGGAACCACCGGGTTCCTTCCACTGGAAGTTTTATTAGACGCTGATTGGAAAATTAATAGAAAAATAATTATAATAAAGAGTAGTTTAGTAATTTTAATCTGTTCATTACATCAGGGGTATCCGTTCAATTTTGCCCTGTCGCAGCAGAGATGGAGGGATTGGCTTGCCGCCGCCCGCGCGCCACCGGCTGCCTTCTTGCTAGGCTCTCGCTGCTGCCCGCTGCAAGGGCTCGACAGTACAATTGTACAATTGTACACTTTATATTTTAATTATCAGTAAAAAAATAAGGCTCTTAGTCCACGGGATTTTAGTTCTGATTCACAAGTTCCTATCATTTGGTTCCTCTATCTTTTTAGCCATAAGATCAAGAGGCAAGGACGGCTCTCATTATTCCCAAGCACTGTATAAAGTCACATAGAACTAATCAACTAATAATAGTTGCGTGTATATATCAGTCATGTTTTTGACGTAAGTGTATATATCAGAGGTCATCGTCGATGGGATGGGACAAGGGTGCTGGCATCAGCTTGCAGCGCGCATTGCTTGCTCCGTAGCCTTGTGCGCAGGAAACAACGCAGGGGCTTGGAGCGTATCGTACGTCCTGGCGCCCTGCCCAGCAGGACGTACTTTACATTCCACGATAGTATTCAGCGTGCTGAGGCTGGCCTGAGGCGTATCATATTGTGTGATCTCAAGCTGTTTCATATGGACGAGAGCCAACAAGAGGTTTAGATTGGTTTCATTAGGAATCTGTCATTATTCATCATATTGTCCTAGGCAAGCTCCTAGCACATATCCACGAGATGTTTGCTGGTCGCCTGCTACTGGGATTTGATTATTTGACTACGTCGTTTGGATTATCCAAAGCTGATGGCAAGGGGCATGTCGGGGTCATATTTTTTCATCTCGGTACAGGGCTCGGTGGTCATTGCCTCTCCTATGGCAGAGAGGGTAACTCCAGCTTGATATGGCAATGGCCCCATTATGGTGACCACGCGGGAAGAATCAGAGGCGTTCCCGAGAGCAGTCAAACACCCAGCCAGTGTATGATCTTCCCCTCTGACGTGGCGGTGAGGACTAGCTAGGCCTCGTTGAGCGCCTGTCAGCGGGATCTCTTCTTCTTCCTCCTCCTCCTCCGTGATCAGAGTGGATGGCACAAGTCTTGAGACCACCACCTGATAAACAGAGGCGCTATTCCCTGAGCCCGATCGGTAGTTGGACTAGGCTTGGACCACAGTTGTCCGATGGCTCAGAAGCCGACTCGGAAAACTTGGTCATGCCCGAGTTAGACTTTGAGCATCTTGAGGTGTTTCCACGTCCGGGTCGGACTGGAAATTGAAAATTCGCCAAAATTCACGACGAGATATTCCAGCGCGTCTTAACGAGGAGGTGGATAAGCTTGATCCACAGTAGTCTCCATGAGGCGACTATGGAGCTTGTCGGAGTTGTCCATTGTGCAGACAGATGAAAGTCGACCCCGCCGGGAACACGGTGTTGATCTTGGGGTCCATTGAGCTCTTGAACATTTTTTCGTCGAAAGCCCCTACCTGGCGCGCGGCAGCTGACGGTGCCTAATGACCGGCAACCTTGCTACGGGGTTACCTAGAGCAAGGATTGATTGTGCGTAATACCCTACGTCATATGTGGCATGTTGCCTTGCATTGGATTGCTTTGTATGATATGTTACAAGGGGGTGCCCTGGTCTCTTTTTATCTAGTTCAGAGGGCAGGCGGCCAGGTGCACAATTCTAGTTTTAGTCTAGTACAACAGAAGAGTTCTATTTTCTTAAAAAAAACAGAAGAGTTCTAATCTTCTTACAAAGATAGACTTTCTTTATGTGAGATTAGGTCAGTTTACTTAACGAGGAAGTCATGCCACCTTGTCCCACACGCGCCTTCCTGGCAGTCCGTGGGCTAGCCCATCTCTTTGACAGGTAGTCGGCCTTCTGGGGATCCCTTAGGATATTGGTCTGTCAGACATGATTTTGGTTCGTCATAAAATTTTCGTCATAGATATTCACATTTTTATTACTGACCCAACCGATGACTAGATTGTGTACCTCCGCCTTGATCTTGTAGTGCTCGAAATACTTAAAGCGGAGAAGAAGAAGCTGAATGTCGACAGGAGGATGAGGTGCGCAATGGCATGGCAGCCTGGCACAGGCAGGTGGTGGCAGGGTGGGCGCAGTGCGCGCGATGTGATGGCCGATGGGGCCTGACCGGGACTGCCATGACCGAAAGCGAGTGCGGCAAAAATCTGTTTGAACTCGTCATGTAGCATATGCCATGTTTCTATATACAGATCATCATCTTGCGCAAAAATATATATGTGATCAAGTTGGGACCTGGAGAAGAGAAGGAGGCGGGCACCGGAGCATACATATAGAGCACCATGCATTTCAAAATCGAAGGAGTGATCAAGTTGGGACCTGGAGAAGAGAAGGAGGCGGGCACCGGAGCTTGTGGTGGATTGACCGTAGTCTCGATGCGGTCTATCGTGCCAACAGGATTACTACAAAACAGACCAGGATTTGTTTGAGACAATTGAACACGAATGTTGCAATCTATGTTCAGTGAGCTCACCTAGTGCTGTTGACATACGCCATGATTTGGTCAAACTTGTCCTGAGTTACCGTGAGACCTGGGAGAGCCAGAGTGAAAGCGATGTCGGGCTCACGGGTGACGAAGACGACACCTGCTGCACCAGCCAAGAAAGGACCTGCAGAGTCGCCGGTCTGGGGTAAGCAGAGGACGATCTTGCCTTCGTATGGACCTCCAGCGAGGTTCTCTGGACTACAGAACCTACATGTTTTGAAGAAAAAAAACCCATAAACATTAGATAGGCAATGCTGGTACCATTCCCAATGCTTGAATTTTTTTTTATGTTAGCTTTGTGCAGGTATTGAACTGATTGATATAAATTTCGACAAAATTCGTGTTTTTCAAAACTCTCACATCCATGCACGTTGAATATGTATAAGATATATGTATATGTATAATATAGACACAGTCATGCACTCACACACACTAGTAGATATGTCATTGTCATCGTCTTACCCGTGGGCGGGGAATGCAAGTGTGGCATTTGTTATCGTTGGAAAGGTGTTAATGGAGACTCCCTGCAATAATATAAGAAAACAGTTGCAATGGTTGGCCTTTTTATTCAAATACTGATTTCTGTGAAAAAAAATATATAAGGACATAGTGTAAAGTTAGGGCTCAGCGCTGACCACTACGGTCTCTCCGTTCCCAAGAACAATCTTGTCGATGAACTAATGGTCGATGTTGCTCGCCACCACAGACAGCATCCACGGCGCGACATTGCAAACGTGACCGCCGAGCAGCGCCGCGTTTCCGGCCGCCGCGGACGTGAGCACCCCACGCCTCATGGCATGGAAGGAGCCGATGGCCTGCGCGTCTCTGAAGTAGTCAGATGGGAACCAGCTGCCGATGGAGAAGGAGATCACGTCCACGCGACCCGGCACCGCACCACGAGCTGTGCCGGCGGCGAAGCGTTCAAAGCTGACGTTGGCCACCGCCCGGCTTGCCACGGTGGATGCCGTGTGGCTGCCTTGGCCCACGTCTAGTGGCGACTGGTCAGAGTTGGATCCTTGGTTGTAGGCGCGAGCTCCTATGATTTTACTGCACGTACCCGAGTCCGTGTCATGTGTTATGCAAATCTACTCATCATCAGGCGGGGACGGGCCAGGCGGGCTAAAAGTTAAGGTTCTGTAAAATACTGATAGTATTGTCAATTTTACTTTGATTCTCATTTTAACGTTTCGTGGGAACACAAGTTACTAATTGGTGGTAGTACACACAGTTGCTCGACAATATACTATAAACTGTTTATATTTATGGAAAACTCATTAAATAGTAATTTATAGAAAACTCATTCAATAGTGATAAAGTATGTCCTCCATGCAACCACCACACTGCCCTATGTCCTTTTATAGTGAGAGCCTGGAGAACCCAAACTACATCCGCATCACTATTTAGGGCCTCTTTGGCACGGTTTATGTCGGCTTCGGCTTCATCTATTTTGGGCAAATCGAGGCACTGTAGCGTGAAGCCGTTTTGTAAGTCGGGATTAAAATGAACTAGAAGCCGGGAAAAGCCAGTTTTTCTGGCTTCACCGGCTTTGGCTTCACCGGTGAAGCCGTTTTGGATGAGCCGTGCCAAAGGGAGCTTTAGTGGTATCAAGATGACAATAAGTACATCATAGCAACAAACAATAACAATGATGAAAGCTCCAATATGAGAAACATAACTAACAAAATAAATAAAGCGACATCTCTAACAAATTTTAATTAGGTAGACAGTAAAAGAAAAGGCCTTTTCATACTTGTTGCACGTGAAGTTGTGGCATGTACCCTTCCACTTGCTCGGCGGTGGGCCAAAGCCTTCGTCAGAGAAGGATGGCGAGTCAGGCCACAAACTAGTGTCAAGCATACCAACAATGATGTATCCTTGTAGTGGTAGCTCTTGCTTGGTCGTTTGAGCGAAGCCTAAGAAGTCCCAAGACCTTGTAGTCAAAGGCTTAAGGGTCGTACTTGGGTAGACTGAGACAACGCCATTCATGCCTAAAGGTAAGGAAAATTGTATAAGATAAAGCTAGATTCATGTATGCTTCGATATAAATTGAAAGTTGATATGTTACAGTCGAGCTATCCCAAGGCATGGTAGTGATGCTGTATCAGGCCAGTGCCTCATGGATTTTGGTTCCAGCGGGTGTGTATGCACGGGCAATTTTCCCTCCATGGATTTCAGGTTCGGGGACATAAAACATATTGGGTTTGACTTCGAGTTTTGGGTTCCACCATTAGATGCCCAATGAAGACCAAAATAAATCATTTTGAGTCAAAACTCATGTCTTGTATTACTAAATTGTTTCTGTAAGCCACTAAGCTTGTTCTAAGTTGAGTCATGAAATTGCATGTTATGTGTTGTTGCCTCTTGTTTATACATGTGAATATGTAATATAAATCATGCATATGTTGCTAGAAGTTCCTTATTGCTCTTACTGCAGTGCCATACAATGGTGGGTTTCAGGGATCCACCGGGTTTGGTGGCAGGGGTGGATTATCACCCGAATATGTGTTTGGGATGGTTTCGAGTTTTCAGTACGGTTGGGTCGAGATTCCACCCGACTCAAATATGTCCTGTTACCATCCCTAGCTATTTCTTGATCTTGCACTGTGGTCTCTACGTCCTTGAGACATACTCCCACCATTTAATTATAATAAGTTTTTCTGATTTTTTGTAGGTACATATCATAGCAAAAGTAAAAGCTATATGATAGGTACATAGAAAAGCCAGAGCTCTCAAATCTCAACGCACAATCACAAAATGAAAGGAATGAAAGGAAAAGCTTGTTAATTGTCACAAACCAGAAAGTTTACGTGCCTCTTCTTCACTTAGCTTGGCAGCGAAGCCATTTAAGCTTCTTTTGTAACTACGGAGGATCCTGTCTGAAACAGAGCTGCAAAAGACAAAATAGTATATAGGTTTACACTCCAAGCTTTTTTCTCTGTTAAAAATATGAGAATATAAAACCTCAACAAATTAATAATCAAGTTTTTTTAGATGATTCATATACACGGTATTGATTAAGAAATAAAGAAAAACAAAAGTACAAGCATGCGCATTTTCTTCTTTCTGATCGAAACAAAAGGCGCGTGGGTTGCTACAAAAACTTAGCGGCTCCTATAGCACACAATAATTATTCCTGTACAGTTGCATGTGCACTATATGACCGCTCATAGCCTGACCAAAAAAAAGCCCTGCAGCCGGTCGCGAACTGGACGCCGAAATGGAGTATATAGCAAAAAGCCAAAAGCTTTGCTTTGGCACGGTCACGAAAAAGACACGCAGTATATATAGCATGATTTGTCCTGAAGAAATGGTCAGGCACTAATACTCTGTCTTTGGTGAACACTGAAAAGAGATCTTTACACCTGCCGTCGTCGAGGACCTCATTCAGCAGGTCGTGATGAGCAAATTCTACAGCAGAAAAACCTTCAGGCTCCGACGCATCCGTGCTGGGTAGGTGCCCAAGGTACACGATGTAGACCTGCTTATGATCAGGATCAAATAGATGAGATAAAATTTCGTAAAGGTCTATGCAGATCCTGAAGATGATCTATGATCTATCCATCTGACCTGGCCTCCATCGCCGATGGATTCAGAGGCGCTCAGGCTCGCGGCGAAGACAGTGACGACGAGGAGAAGCAGTGGCTGTGTTCTGGGACGAGGCATTGTATCCTACGGTGTTGGAAGCTTGGTGCAGCACTGCTCCAAGCACGAACACTTGTGTGGGCCATATATATGTGTACATATCTACTAGTCCATGTATATATAGAACTAATAATAGATGCGTGCATATATGAGAGTCGTCCTCGTCGACATCAGAGGCATTGCTTGCTCCGTAGCCTTCTGCAGGAAACAACGCAGGGGCATTCCACGATGAAATATCTCGCGCTCCTGGTTGGTGCCGGAATATTCAGCGTGCTGAGGCCTGCGGTGTATTGTGTTTTCCCAGAAGCTGTTTGATTGACGAGGTCACGAGAGCCAACAAGAGGGTTTAGATTGGTTTCATTATGATATAATTGTTTGCTTAGTTCTTGCACATGGAATTGGTAGAGGATGCTACGTCCCTCAATCCTAAAAAGAATGCAATTCCTGTTTTTCGAGGAGTCAAACAATTTTAAGTCTAACTAAATATATATAAAAAGTATTAACATTTGAGATACTGAATAAATATTATTAAATTCATCATAAACTATATGAGAAATTTTATGGTGCTTGAAAATAATGAGAGCCTTTCGTTCATCTAGATCTAATGGTTAAAAATGTAAAGGAACCTAATTAGAGAAACTTATTAAGTTGTAGGCCGGAACTGAAATTTAGTTGGCCAGGAAGTGATTTCTATATGTATCCAAAGGGTATAATGGTATTTTGATCGTTAGAACCTAACGATGCCATTGGGCACCGCAGATTATCCATCCCTTTGGATAATGTTGAATGGGTATAGCCATGGATAATCTGTGGTCATCACTCGCGCCGCCCGTCGATGTTGCGATGGAGCGGCAGGGCCATCCTCACTAGCGAAGACGTCTACCGGCACTTTAGTGATCGGCAAGATGAAGAGCCCCAACCGGTCCATCTTCAAGATGGATGACGATGTAGGCTGCGACAACTTCAGTTCGCCGCACCGCCTTCGTGCTGCTCCTCGAGGCGCAGCACTGCTCCAAGCACGAACACTACTGGATTCAGGTTCTTTGCCGAGTGCCTGAGGCACTCGGCAAAGGCCAAATTGCACTCGGCAAAGCCTTTGCCGAGTGTGGCACTCGGCAAAGAACACACGGCAAAAAATTGATCGGCAAAGATCTCTTTGCCGAGTGTCTTTTATCGGGCACTCGGCAAAAAAAACGACCGTCACGGCGCCGGCCCCATTGACGGTGGCTTTGCCGAGTGCCAACCCTGTAGGCACTCGGCAAAGATTTTTTTTAAAAAAATTTCTTTGCCGAGTGTCCCCTGGCCGGCACTCGGCAAAGTTTGAATTTTTTTTTAAAAAAAATTCTTTGCCCAGTGCCCTATTGACGGCACTCGGCAAAGTTTGAATTTTTAAAAAAAAAAAATTCTTTGCCGAGTGCCCTCTTGCCGGCACTCGGCAAAGTTTGAATTTTTTTTTAAATTATTTGCCGAGTGTTCTCTGGCCGGCACTCGGCAAAGTTTGAATTTTTTTAAAAAAAAATTCTTTGTCGAGTGTCATGGTCATGGCACTCGGCAAAGCTGGAAAAATGGTTTTCCGAGCGCCCATTTTTCCAGCTTTGCCGAGTGCTGTGACCATGGCACTCGGCAACGGGGTCCTTTGCCGAGTGCAACACTCGGCGAAGTGACTCAAAACGGCAATTTTTTATTTTTTTTTACATTCCATCATGACAAATAAATTCATACAATCATACATCACATATATATCTCATCAATCACATATATATCTCCTCTATCAGAAAGCCCAAACTATCAATATTGTACATATCGATTCAGTTTGGTCAATATATCTCAGGATGTACTTTTTCCTATACACAAACATATGGAAAACGATAACGACGCATACAACAAAGTGGATGACTTGATAATGGTGGATTTACAGCAGCCGTCTGTCATTGTTGATCAACTAGGGGTAGTCCTGGAGCCCAGAGCTCTTGAAAGCTCTCTAATGATGACAGACTTCTCCTTTGCTTCTTTATTGCCTTCGAAATGCCATTTTCGGGACATTTCTTCAGCCTGCAGTGACAATACATGGAATGGTAAGTCAATATTGTCACAGACCCACAATAGTCCACAGCTGACAGCCCCAAAGCAAACTTGAACAAAACTGAAGGGCAATGTGCTGAAGGGAAATACAATAAGCAATTGTTTAGCCAGAACAAGAACAGCAGAAGTTCACTTACCCAGCTTCTCAATGGAGCTATTTGTTCTTTAATCATATCAGCTCGTGGCTGCAGTGCATATTTTCCTTTTGTTTTCACGTCATCTACCTGAAAGGAGAAACAAGAGTTGTTTCCAATTTTTGAGACTAATATCACTACCATTGAACTTAACTACTTAAGAACCCCTTGACAGCCTCAAGGCTAACATCCAAAGTTTCATCACATAAATATATCCACAGCTTATTTCAACAATAAACTCCTAGGCAAACTATTTCCAACATGAATTTGTTAGATAGGGCCCCATTGGTGGCACAGAACTTTGCTGTTCCGCAGATAGCTCAGACCTTATTTTTAAAACTGAATTTCGCTTTCCATGGTTGAGTGGCAAACAGAACAGTATAGCAAGGGCTCCTATGCCCTATTGCCATTCAGAGTGGCAAGGAGGATGTTACTTATAGGATTAAATAATAAAAAAGTTCCACATTGACTCTGCATGATTATGGATCACTAAAGAATGCTAGGACCCATTTTTCTCATCCCTGTGCAACGAAAGTTTGTAGCATAGTGAGAACCATACAAATCAGCAATTTCAAAATGAAGAGAGCAGCATTCAAGAACTAAAGATAGAAAGACAAAAGAAGTAACTAGGAATCCCTATAGCTGTATTAGACTAACCAATGAAAACGCCTTTTCTAACTGAGACCTGTGCTCGTGATGAATAGCTGCTTTAATCAATGTTAATACTAACTTTCTTTGAATATAGCAATTAGCAAATTCGTGTAGTGTAGTTTTCTGCTGTAATCACACATGTTGGACATGTAACCAATAGATATCGAATTATATATTCTGAACTGGCCCATACAAGATAGCATATAGATCAGTGCATCCGATGGTATAAATCTATTTGAAAATCATTTCCATACGAAAGCAAAAGCCTGTTTACACTGCATTGTGCATAATGTTGCTCCAGTTTTTTTTTTTCTGATAGTTACTTGCACCCGTATGTAGCATTCACAACTCCTCAATTGAAGAACTGCTTGAGCGTGTATCCAAGTTCCAAGCATGATGCATGGACAATCGGGTACAAAATTAATCAGTTCGGTACATACGCGTGAACGCGCGCACCCGGAATGCCAGAACTCAGAAAACTACTCCGAACGACGAATTTCAAATTCGGGAAAAGGCACGAGTGGGGAGGAGCGTACTACCTTTTGGGGCCGAAGGTGGCCTGCGGCTGCGGCAGCGAGACGTAGGAGCGGAGCGGGTTGAGCGCGTCGGGGTGCAAGCCCGCAGCCTCGGCGCCGCCCGGCGGGAGGGCCCAGCGGGAGGACTCGGAGAGGGAGGATTCGGCCGGGGGCAGCGTCCCCTTGATGGGCACGGAGGAAGTACGCGCCCTCCTTGGCAGCGAGGCAGCCGGGCGGCGCGGGCAGCGCGGGCGGCGCGGGCGTTGGCGGCACGGGCGAGCGGGCGGTGGCGCGTGCGTGTGTGCGGGGTGCGTGGCCGGCCCAGGGGTTAAATCAATACTTCGCCGAGTGCCCCCGGTCTCTCGACAACGGGTTTTTTTTTAATTTTTTTTTTTTTTTTGTCCAGTGTCCCAGATCTAGCACTCGGCAAAGATTTTTTTTAAAATACTTTGTCTAGTGCTCCTGACACGGCGCTCGGCAAAATTTTTTTTTTAATATCAAAGAGGAAATTTTTTTAAAAAAAATCAAAACCCTCTTTGTCGAGTGTCTTGTTTTTGGCACTCGGCAAAGACCCCCTTTGTCGAGTGCCATGCCACGGTACTTGGCAAAGTTTTTTTTTGGACTCCAAATTTTTTGTGCAACCGTTTTAAGGTACCAGGAACTCCTAGTTAGAATTTGAGGATTTTTTTTGGCTTTTTGATATATTTAGTTACTTTATTTCGTTTACTTGAATTTTTTCGAAAAATATAAATTTGAACTGCACGTGGTACGAATAATGGAATTTAATGATTCAAAAAATGATAGTCATGTTACTGAGTGTAGTGTGAAGCCGTATCCAGGAACGAACCTGAAATTTCGGACATCTTGTTCACGAAACATGATCGTGAACTTGCGTGCGAAGTGTTTTTAAATTCTATAAAAAGCAAACGAAGCCCGAAAATCATGAAACTTGTTGAGATGTCGTGATATCATATTAGGAGGCTATGATAAAAATTTGAGAAGGTCTGGTGCACGTTGTCACATACGATACTTACAAACGGGATATCTCCACATGTATATATATATATATATATATATATATATATATATATATATATATATATATATATATATATATATATATATATATATGCCTGTGATAACAATAACATTGAAGGTACTTATCACTACATAAACTTGACCTTCTATGACAATTTCCTCATAAAAAATGTGTTATGTGTCACTAAATTACTCCATTTTCGACATTTTGCATGAGGTGATATAGCTTAATGATGAAAATATGGCAGTCATCATAAAAGCCAACCCAAAATCATCATAACATGCTAAGATGTCATATTTGTGAGAATTTTATACCAATGTTAACCCCATCATAATTGTTTAATGTTTTTTTTTATAAAATGCATCATTTATGCTAGCAAGCATAGCCCACCTATAAGAGTGGAGTGGGTCCCACTGCCACATTGTCATACATGGTCCACCCGTCAGGCTTCCCTGATAGCTATCGTATCCCACGGGATTTTCATGCCTAAAAGTATCTAAGTTTTTTAAGGCTCCAATAGATTTTTGTTTATTTTCCAAAGATTCTTGGACCAAGATTGGATGGAATTCATTTAGGTTTTATTTTTTAATTTAAATAAAATAGTAAGTTTTTTCCTCCTTCCTAACTCCATCTACGCCAAATATTTTTTTGGGCCAGGGGAGCAACAGTGAGCAGACCAGCCAAAGAAGGGAAGGAAAGAAGGCACATTCCTTGACCTAACCTGGTTCGGTTGGTCCTAGAGACTACAACCCTCCGCTTGAGCACTTCCCACAAAAACGAAAGAGCGACTTCAACCATTCTCAGTGGTGAATTTCACGGCGTTGTTTCCAAGAATACCACACCATGTAAAACAAAATAAAACATGGATGAAACATCAATTCTCAATGCATAGTTTCGTTCCAGTTTTTCATAGGCATTTAGTTTGATGACTCATATAAAGTTGGTAATCGTGCTAAGAGAGTTTAGACTAACTTATGCTCTCTTGTTAAAACGTTGCCATTGATAAAAAAAAATGCCTGTGTGGCAGCCTATTAAATGCAGATGAAATTTACATGAAACTCCCACTGAGATTGGCCTTCCACCTACCAAATCGCCCTTCTGTTTCATTTGGTGTTTTCACTATACAACTACATCCTACGGCAATTGTTAAATGATGCCATTTTAATCGGTAGGATATGCCTAGTTTTGCTGAACTTAACCGGTAGGATAGGCCTAGTTTTGCTGAAAACCAAAAAAATCCTTTGCTGAAATCCATTGGGCATGTTCGTTTGGAGGAATTCTGGAGGATTTTGGATGGTTTGGAGGAATGCTGGAGGAATTTGTGAGAAAAAAACACTGTTCTGGATGAAAAAAGAAGCGGATCAAGCCGGATTTAAGGGCACGCGAACGGGGCCGGTCGACCAAAGGCCTTGGGCCACCACCTGGCTCTCTGGGGCTGATATTTATGTTGCACTTTACTTTACTTTCTTAGCTTTTGTATCAGTGCTTGGGATAATATTTGTATCAAGAGTTTCATAGGGATTCAGTAGACATAAAATTGGGTGAGATTTTCGTGTTCCTTTAAAATGTTTGACTGAAATTGCAATACTTGAACAAATTTCATCTAAATAAAAAATAAAACTACCAAGTATATATTTATGATGATGACCAATAGAACCAAAAATTCTTATCCAAAAATCCACCAATCCTTCTCCTTACTATCTGCTATATAATTTTTGACCGTGCCTAAATGTTACCCCAGTCTTGTAATTGTCACTTTCCACCATATAATATGACGGCCACCGCAAGGATTATTATTGACTCTATACCTAAGTGTGGGCATATGTAAGCAATGAATGAAGACTAGACCCTTTTCCAGTCTTGTGTTGTACTAGCCGAAATAAGTACGGGTTGTTTGTTCTTAACCCTCAGTTAACCAAAAAAATGGAAGTATACATAAGAGGCCCAATAACACTTCTAGATCCAAGCCCATTTATAGAGCCCTATGTATATAATATCCAACCGAGCCACCTTACTGCAAAAGCTCACCCCACTCCAATTATCATAACCAACTAGTTGCCTCCACTAACCCATCGCCACCATTCGAACCCTAATTAAAGGCATGTTGGTATCGACCCTGTAGTCTGCGTCAGCAGCATGCGCCACCACTCGGTCAACATCCAATCCTTTGAGCCATGCATAGGTGCCTTGCTCTAGGCCTTCATGCCGACACCATGACACGCGCTCCCTCCAACATGTGGATGCCAACCTTCCGTAACGACATGGTAGCTAAGGCAACTCTTCCTCCATGAAGGGGTAGAAGCAAGCAGCCTGCACTTGGATAGGCACCACTATTCACCTAAATGATAATTTAGCCCATTTTATACACTGTGTAAATGCTACACGGTTGTATGTTTTTTTTTGGTTTAGTCAACTATTTATTCTGTTTACATGGTTATTTTGCCCGTTTAAATGGTCATTAGCCAGAATAATGGCTAACCAACAAGTGACCAACTATTTACTTTTTAACATTTTAAGATAACACTATTGGGCTCAAATTTGACACAATCCAGCGGATCCGATGGCGGTGGCAAGCCGAGATAAAGTGATGAGAGGATAGGAGCGCCTACTATGTGATTACAACCTCGTCCAAGATTTGTTTTTCTGATTTCTGTGAATGTTTGGATGTGTATGTGTAAATTCATCGGTTAGTTCTGTCAAGACTGAATACAAATAGCAAAACTGAATTGTTCTCTTTTTCCTTTTTGTCAATGAATCTCAGTCCTGAGTTTTTATCTACCAGAGACTTATAAAATAACCGAGGAACGGAACCATTTGGTTTGGTCCACCCAGTCTATTGCTTCACCTCCACTACTTGATCACTCCACTTTAGCTCCGCTAGCATCATTCAGCCTGTTCGCTTGCTCGTAAACGATCGTAAATTTTCAGCCGGGAACAGTATTTTTCTCTCACACCAAACCAGCCAGCAGTAAATAATCCACGATACGATACGACCTCCCGAACAGGCCGATTATGATCGGTATGTTATTATCCTAGTTTTTGGTAGTTTAGGCTATAATCAAAACTATCATTGCTTTGTTAGGTCCCATTATTCTTCCATATATGCTTCCACCTCACTGCCCCTACCTCCATTTGTTACCAGAGCCTAGAGAACCCAAACTATAAACGAACCACTTCATATATAGACGATTCTGTGGTGCTCCAA